CACGGAGCACCCCCTAAACCTGAACTCCACCCGGCAGCCGCGCGCGCGGGGTGCAGTGGCTCATCATCCTCCGGCCGCGTCGAATGCGCGACCGGGCCGGAGCCCTGCACCGCTGCGCGCGGGGAGTGCGCCGCGAGACTTCCCCTCGCGGCGCTGAAGCATGAGGGGCGCCAAACTTCTGATTGGCGCCCCTTGGGGGGCTGGGGATCGCGGCAGGGGCCATGATCCCCAACTCCCGCCCCCCAACACCAACCGGGGCGGCGGGCGCAGGGGATGGTGTCCCCCTAGCGCCCAAACATAGGATAGTCGGTTCTCTGCACCGCCCGGGGTCGTCATTTCGACGTCTATAAAAATCCCCGGGCGGGAATCGAAGTCGACAATAATCCGACTGGCCTGAAGGACTCCCAGAAGAATGCTGCACGCGTTCCTGGGAGTCCCTCATGCAAGGCCAGGTAAGGACACCCGGAGGGGTTTTAGTGGGTGCAAGCCCCACATAACTCCGGGCTCTCCCCCGAGGCGTCAAGCATTTCCCCTCCGTTATCAAAAAAAAAAAAAGGGCGAGCTGCCTGGTACTCAGCTGTTCCTCCAGGCCTTTCCTTTTTTATATTACGCTGCTTGTGGAATGGATGGAGATAGGAAGAGGGGAGTGGGAGAAGAAATGGTGAAATTTGGTTGGTCTTCAATAATCGGGAGAATGTTCTTACATATTTTATTTATATTGTAACCATTATCTCTATTTAGATTATGATCTCTATTTAGATTAGAGTGTTTTTGTATCTCTATAGCTTCTCTATACTTTCTTGGAAAGTATGATGTAACGTTGGCTATCGTGGTCGCTTTGTCAAATAATATTTGATGTCTTAATAATATTTCGATGTTGTGTTCTGATAATGCCGACTGCGTGGCGTGTTTTAGCCTGACATCATGTTGATGTTCTTTTAGCCGTAGATTGACCATTCTCCCGGTTTCTCCAATGTATATTTGTCCGCAGAAACAAGGTATTTTGTATACTCCTGCGGAGCTGAGTGGAGGTCTTTTTAGGATTGCTTAAGATTTATCCTATCTTTTTGGGTTTGAAGATAGTTCGGATATTATGTTTGTTTAATATCCTGCCAATCCCATCTGTTGTTCCTTTGATATGGGAGAATAGATAAGATCCTATCATCTGATTGTGTCAGAGATCGTTGTCTTGTTTGCATGTTTATTGATTATCTTGGTTATGTCTTTTTTGTCGTGTCCGTTTTTATGTAAGACTAGTTAGTAGTTTAGGTGGTTGAATTTTGTCTGTAGATGTTCTTTGTCAGAGATGGTGAAAGCTCAATGTACAAGTGAGTTGATTACTGACTGTTTTTATGCTTGATGATGGTGCGACTCGGCATGTAAGTATCTGTCTGTGTGTTGGTTTTCTGTACGCTTGATGGCCTAAGGTGCTATCGGCTTTCTTAGAGACATGAATGTTTAAGAAAGAGAGTTTTCCGTTTTCCTCTATGTCTATAGTGAAGCGGATATTTGGATGTTGTCTGTTGAGGAAATTAAGGAATTTTCGGAGTTCTGCTCTGACATGTCTTTATATCATGAATGTATCGTCCACATAACGGAACCAAACGTCTGGTTTTTTTCGATGTTTTTTTGAGAGCCTCTTTCTCAAAGTGCTCCATGAAGATGTTAGCGATTACAGGAGAAATAGATGAACCCATCGCTGCTCCTGAAGTTTGTTCGTAAAATTGGTTGTTATAGGAGATATAGGTAGTTGTTAAGTAGTACTCTATTAGCGGGATGAGATCGGAGAGGATTTCATACGAGGTTTTTATTATGTTTATTGTGTCTTTTATTGGGACTTGTGTGAAAAAAGATTCTACATCGAAACTTACGAGTAGATCTGTGGGACGCAGTCGGCATTATCAGAACACAACATCGAAATGGGACATCAAATACTATTTGACAAAAGCGATCACGATGACCAACATTATCATACTTTCCAAGATAGTATAGAGAAGCTATAGAGATACAAAAACACTCTAATAATCTAAATAGAGATAATGGCTACAACGTAAATAAAATATGGAAGACCATTCTCCCGATTATTGAAGACCAACCAAATTTCACCACTTCTTCTCCCTCTTCCCACCTACCCCCACTCCAACAAGCAGCGTAATATAAAAAAGGAAGGGCCTAGAGGAATAGCTCAGTATCAGGCTGCTCCTCACCCTGATGAAGTGGATTGCAAGGCTCATGAAACGTTGGCATTCCAAGAATGGATCTAGATACGGAGAAAACCCGCGAAACACACAACAGGTATATAGAAAGCATCCGTGGAAGCCTCAAGAATATTAAAATGTTTTATTATAATAAATAATTTTAATTATTTTTTAATTATTAATTAATTATTTAATATTTTATTTAATACTTTATTTATTATTAATTTAATCAAATTTTAACCTATATTATCTTCTTTTTTTTAATTATTTTATCTTATGTTTCCATATTTATGCAAGATTTAATAATTAAAATATCTTGAAAATTCACGTGGTTTTAAAACATATAAAAAGAAGAGCATAAAAAAACCACTGCACAAGTTATAGTTTGTGATATTTAATTATTATTACATTAATTAAAACATTAAACGTTTCGGCCACAA